CAAGAACTCGGCATTGTGAACATGTCAAGCCTGGTTTCTTAATGCAGAAACCCATCCTAGAGGTGGAGTGCTTTGTCTGTGGACACAGAACACATTCCTGCTTCCCTCCCACTCCACTCGGCTAAATGGCTTGTTGACTGAATGGCTGTGTGCACAGTTCAAAGCAGAAAAACATAGTGACATATTTGAGATATTCACTAGGTCAGTGACAACTTGAAAGTGAAGTTAAAAATTAAACGGCCCAGCCAAATGCAGACTCCCTGTCCTGAGGGCACAGGGTCAAACCTGGCTCTGTCCCATTCCCACGTGACTTATTATGTTTCCTGTGAAGGGAAGGAGACAAGGAACGCCCTCTTTTCCCAAGCTAGCTTTCTAGTCTAGGGCTTCACATACTAGTTTAATGGTGAAGGTAAGTGGTTATCTTCTTTTAAATAGGATGCTAATTACTAAACTATCAGAGATGCATTCATTGATTTTACAAGCACTCAAAAACATACCAACTGCAGCCTGAGGATCTCCATTTGGAAATGGTGTCTCGTTCCAAAGTGAAGAAGAGGCTTTCTTACAAAGCAACCATCCATTCAAGACCCTAAGGCTTGAGAGGCCACTGGTGCTGAGGGCCACGGTGGTCAGTGGTCGCTAGCCAGAGGAACGTGTGAGTATTGACTGTGGTATGTAGATGAGTCCAGTTAGCTTTGGCTGTAGATGAAACTATGAAAAATGAACTGAGAAGGCTTAGCTTTGGGACCGCGGTCAGTCTTTTCCGGTTTCAATACACTTGATCTTGGCTCTCGAGAAAACGAGACTGACAGAAGTCTGAATAAGGTGGAAATCAAGACAAGTTGAATGCTTCTAGAAGGCTTGCTGGCTTGTACAGTTAAGAGGTCCCCCGAGAGACTATGGTAGGTGCCTGCTGTTTGTGAGTGGGAGCCATAGCAGAAAGGATTCAGTGAGGACAGACACCTCTCTCATCCTACCTGCCTACCCGGAGGAAATCCTGACTCAAAAGCACAGCTCCGGACTGGGAAGAGGAACCAAGTGAGGCTACTCCTGAGCTGTGAGCCCCTGTGGACAGTGCTACAGTTGAAGTGTGCTTGGCTTTTTGCAATAATCCTCACTTCTAGAATTTTCCACTTCTGGTCCTAGGACCTTTTTTCTTTTTGCTGTGATTTAACTTATAAATGCAATGTTTGAGTGATGTAATAACACATGGAATAGCCTATTTTATTTCAGTCCCTCAGAAAAGTAGAGCGTAGATGAGGACCTCATCTTGCCTAACACTCTGGAGATTATTTTCCTCATGTTCTTTGAGGTTTGTGGCAAGATAAGCACCCTCTTCATCCACATTGTAGATTCCAAGGCAGAAGAACACCCTTTAAAAAAAGTTTAAAACCAACTATTTTATCAGAATGTTTTAAATTTGCTACATGCCTGTATTTGTTCCTGGATCTGAGATGGTCTAACATGGTTGGAGTGGGGATATAGTAGCTGTTACCGATGTTAATACTGGTGACATTTGACAATGTAGAACGCCTTGCAGTGACCCAGGCACACCTCATATTTTGTTTTCACACAAACAGTCTCATGAAGTAATATTGTCTCCTCTTTCCCTCTGAAAGTATTTAAGGCTTTAAGAGTTTATGAAGCTTGCTATGATTTGCAGAGACTGGGAACTCAGGCTCTGACTGCTGGCTCTTGATATTTGAACAATATGCGACATTTGCTCTGAGTAAACCAGGAGACCGGGCTAACAAAATTATGCAAGACAAGCAGGTTGTTAGGGAAAATCAAAGAGTATTAGAAACACCATTGCAACAAAATAATGGGTTCTAGACAAAGAAGAGCAGGATGAAGACCCTTACGCAACCATAATGTCTCTAGTCCCATTCCCCCTCAAATAAAACCCTATATGCATAACCCTAATGTCTGTATTTTTCTTCCCCCTAAATACAACCTATATTGTCATAAACTTTTTTAAACATAAATTTTACTTTAACTTAATTTCACTTCAGCATTTATAGGTCTACCTGCAACTTGGACACTAGGATTCCCTATCATTTCCTGAATGGAAAGGTCTTTGAAAGTTTCCATGGTCTCAATCATTTACAGTTAGAATGATTGGACTGTCTTTATCCATCACACTAATGACGTGTGACTTTGTGAAACCTGGTGACTGTTTTAGAAGCATGGTTTTCATTATGTCACAGAAAGACTACAGTTTGGAATGGCCAATTTTCATATTTGTCTTATGAAAAGGCAACACCAGCACCAACAAAACAATAGAAAACTATTAAGACAATCAAAGTAACACTGGAAGGCAGTAGAAGCCCTGTGACCCCACCTGGGGTGGTGGAATGTAGCTCAGAGGCAGAGTGCTTGACTGGCACCCATGAGGTTCTGGGGCAATCCTTGGGGAAACAAAAGGCTGTTAAGACCGTTCATTCCTTTCCGTTTTAGGCTTAGACTGAAACCATAGTCAGAACAGGCTTATTTTTATTTATTTTTTTCAGTAATTTATTTAATTTTATTTTATATGTCTTGATGTTTTGCCTGCATGTACATTTGTGTGAGGGTGCTGCATCCCCTGGAACTGGAGTTCCAGACAGCTGTGAGCTGTCATGTGGGTACTGGGAATTGAACCTGAAGACCTATGTCTCTTCCTCTAGAGCTGTGTGTAGAGCAGTGGGATGAATACTGGCATCATCCAGATGTTAGTGAGACTCAGAGCCCTTTCAGGCCAGAGCAGCCAACCAACATCTACCCTGTTGCTCATCTGTTCTTTGTGGCAGTTGAGCCTAGATGTGGGTCCATTGTAATAAAACAAAGTTTCAATTACTCCCAGCTCTCAGGAGGCTGAAAAATAGAAGTATCAGAAGTTCAAGGTCAGCCTGGTCTACATAGTGGACTCAGGAAAAGAAAGAAAGAAAAGAAGGAAGAAAGGAAGGAAGGAAGGAAAAAAGAAAAGGAAAGAAAAAATTAACAAGAATATCTCAAAATTGAAAAGTCTAATAGTTATCTGTAAGTGAACTTGGCTCCTAGGTAGGGAGGTAGAGACAGGAGGACCCTGATGCTTCCTGATCAGCCAGCCTAGCCCAATCGGCAAACCCAGATCCTGGTGACACACCCTAACTCAAAAGACAAGATGGACAGCTTTTGAAGAATGACATGTGAGTCTGACTTTGGTCTCCACGTACACCTTCACATACAAGCATACAACCTGAACATAAATAAACACATACACTGGCACATAAAACATCATACATATGAGAAATAACGAATAATAAAGTAATTCCCAGAGTCTGCCCCTTGGGAACATTCATGGTTCCACTGGTGTAATTTTTTTCTCTGTATGTGGCTTCCGCATTATCCTGCTTACACTCTCTGAGTACAAAGTGCTTCTCCGATATTATCTCAAGAGATTTAAAAGCATTGTTTTAACAGAGTCCTTGACAAGAAGCCCTCAAAACTGACCCTCCATACCCCTACAGTTTGATCACTGTGTCTCCAATATATTACTGTTATAAAAAAAAATTACAATGGATGTTTTGGATAAAATTCTTCATCTGTATCTTCCGTCATGGTCCTCTGTCATAGATTATGAGACTCTTTAAGAGTGTGGGAGTATCTCTTTAAATTTGGGTTCAGAAAGCATAAAATTCTGAATTATGAAACATAAATATGATGCAGGTGGTTTTAACAGTCATTGAAGACACAGTCTAAAAATGGTTAATTTACAAGATTCTTAGAATCCCTAAAAGAAGCAAATGAATATACTCCTCCCAAAGATATACAGATACTGAATTAAACATGACCATATTGGGGGCCAATATTTTTATTTGCTTTTCAAAGTAGCTAAATTCATTTATGATTACAGCAGAAGTCTCCCATTCAGTATAATTTTATAAATGTTTTAAAGATATTGTCAGCTCAATAAAATGTTCATTTTATGTGCAGTAAACAATACTTTAATCATGGAAGGGAAGTCAAGGCCTCCGAAGCTTGAAGCAGCTGCTCAGTTTACATCTGTCCTCAGTCAGAAGAAGGAGTAATGCATGCACGTTAGTGCTCAACCTTCTTTTTCCACTCTTATGCAGTTCAGGGTCCCCTGCCTAGGGAATGGTGCCACCCGCAGTGGATGAAACTTCTCCTCTCAGTTAACACAATCAAGATAATCTCTCGGGGGCTGGAGAGATGGCTCAGAGGTTAAGAGCACTGACTGCACTTCCAGAGGTCCTGAGTTCAATTCCCAGCAACCACATGGTGGCTCACAACCATCTGTAATGAGATCTGGTGCCCTCTTCTGTATACATAATAAATAAATAAATTAAAAAAAAAAAGATAATCTCACACAAGGCTACCCATAGGTCCATCTTCCTCGGTGACTCTAGATTCTACAAGTTGGCAATTAACACTGACCATTACAGCATGTGAAAGTCATGTGGCATCTTAAAGATGCCACAGAACATTGTGCTTGTCCAGAGGGAAGAGAAAAATGGTCAGGATGAGGGTAAAGGCTGCTCTGGAACCTTGATCTTCAGCTCTTGAGCTCAACTGTCCTATTTTATGGTTAGCTATAAGTAATGATGCTTCTTATCATTGCATGGTTCTCTGTGGTTTGATTAAGTCTTTTCAGCTTCCTTTTTTTTCAGTTTTATAGCATCACTCAGAAAGAAAAATTATTAAACAGATGCAAAAATGGGTGGTTAGAGAATTTAAACAATTTGCCCTAAGGATTTACAGTTATTTCCTCATAATAACATAGTCCACTTGAAAGCATAGTCAGAATCTATGAGAGTCAGGATGTGGAAGTCATAAAGAAAAACAAACAACCAATGTGCACCTCTTCCTGATCCCCAGAGAAGGCAGTGATGGCGGGAGGAGGCTGTGGGTCATTTCTTGCATGATGTTCTTCTCACAGGTCAAAGCCTGTCGTGGTGACCGTGATTCGGGGCAGAGGGGAACTCCACCACAGAGTACACACCATTCCCCAGAGAAGCAAAATGGATGAGAAGCCTACCACCAGGAAAGGTAAGGCCACTGTCCTCATTTGCAGGTCATTCTAGAAGACTCGGTGCCTGACTCCAGCTTCTTCACCCTTGCCTGCTGTCTTCTCCCTGCTTTTCTATTATATTGCTCCTCTGGATTCTCTTTAAGCCTCCTCTGGATCCTATTTAAGCCTCCTGAGGGCTGGGATTAATTGAAACAGACCAAGCCTCAATCCCAAACTGTCACCTGCTGCTTCATTGTCAGGAGACACCATGAATTAATCCGGCAGAATTGAACCAAATGATCAATAAATCTTGTATCTAAGGAATGCAATGAGTTTTGAACAAGCGATGTTAACGCAAACTGCCAGCTCAGGCACGGATCCCTGCAGAACATATTTGCCAAACGGCTGGCCACTTCTTCTGAGCTTGGAAACTCAAACAGATATTGAAATAATTCATTTTCAGGCAACTAGTTCTACCCCTCGGGCTACTTAGAGATTTCTTCCATTTATTTTTCTATTTCTTCACAGATCCTGTTTGTGTCCCACAACTCAGTTTTTCAAATATGCAGGGGGAAAAAAGCCTAACCCATCAGTGACCTGGAAATCCTTCTAATATTGGCCCATTGCTTTATTTTATTGGGAATAGATACAGAATACCAGTACACACATTACACATACATATATATTGGAAGTATATTGAATGCATAAATATATACATGTGTGTTATACATCCAATGAATACTATTCTACCATTTTACCTATAAGTTTAGTAGAATTGTTTCTACATATTTGTTTGAAAAGCTGAAGTGCCATGAAGGCAGGATCTAGTAATACACAGGAAAGAGGAGTTACTAAAGTGATCAGGTGTTGTGGAATATCAGCTCTCAGCTGGGCACGGTGGTGAACAGCTGCAGTTCCAGATGTTCCAGAGGCTGAGCTGGGGGTGTCGCTTGAGCCTAGGAGTTCCAGACTAGCCTTGGACAACAAACTCAGATCTTGTCTCAGTGGAAAAGAGACAATGGGGATAGTGAGGGAGTGAGTTCAGAACAGGAAAGGAGAGAAATGCTATTTCTCTGACAGCTCAAAGAAGAATCCTCAGACAGGGAGGTAGTGTCCCTGAAAGGCAGCTGTCAGTGCATAATCTCACAAAGCTCTGTGAGGAATGAACATGCTAAAGGAGATGGACCACTCACTTGCAATGCAGAGAGCTGGCATTCATGGTTGGCTCTGCCTTCTTTCCCCTGATCTCCTATTTTGGAGCAATGTGACATGAAACCCTTGCATTAAAGCTTTCCTCTTGCTCATCATCTGTCTCCACGCCTCTAAAGAAGGCCATATTTGCAAGATCCCAAACTCATCATACCCACTGTAATAAAGCTAGCAAAATAATATGGCAATGGAGTTTGGAAGAAATATTATTTTTGTGAAAAGAGGCCACTGGAATTAGCTGGGCCTGGTGACATCTGGTCTGTAGTTCTGGCATTGTGGAAGGCTGAGGCACGAGAGATTGAAAGTTCAAGGCCTTCCTGGGCTACAAAGTCAATTCAAAGTCAATCTGGGCAACTTAATGAGACCAGTCCCAAGAGCACTCTAAAAAGGGCTTAGGGTAAAGCTCAGAGGCAGACTGCTTGCCTGATAAGCATATGCAAAGGTAGGACCTGAAAAAAAAAAAGAAAGAAAGAAAAAAAAGAAAGAAAGAAAGAAAAGAAAGAAAGAAAGAAAGAAAGAAAGAAGGAAAGAAAGAAAAAGGATGAAAAACAACAACAACAAGCAAGACAGTTGCATTGAGTCCTGTGATCTGGAGTTCTTTCAGATTTGACTGTGGAAGAAATGGGAAAGAGCAGTGTCCTCTAGGGCGCTCACTGTGTAACTCTTGTACTGCCTAGATTCGGGTCTCTGCTCACTACGCTATGGGCTGGCTCTCATTATGCACTTCTCCAACTTCACCATGATAACGCAGCGTGTGAGTCTGAGCATTGCCATCATCGCCATGGTGAACAGCACACAGCATCAGGACCCAGCTAACGCATCCTCTGAGGGGCCTTTGACAGACCCCCTTGGTAACTGGAGCAGAAGCATCAAGGACTTTAGTACTCGGGTGAGTGTGGTGGGGAGCAGGCTCTATGCTGAGAGAAAATGTCCCTGACAGGGAGGAAGAACAGCAAAGGGAGGCTGCAGTCTTCACTCTAAACTGAAAGGAACTGAGATGATTTTTGAGGCACTGCTTGAGTGTGTAATAGTAATTAATTATCGTTCATTGAAGTAATATTATAGACAAATTGTAAGAAAATGTTAGCAATTTAAAAATAGGACAAATAAACGACTTGGATATCTTCAGAGAAAAACTAGTTACTGTCTAGGGGAACCCTTCTGGGTTATCCAGTTCTGTTTGAGTCCCTACAGCCTTCATCATTTTTAGCTATTTATAGCTCTTCAAATTCTATATGATGAATAGAAATGCTTATGATTCTAGTCCTGTGGAGACTTGAACTCTACTCTTCCCCAGTCAGCAGCTCCCGCACTGTGACTGAATAAGGCAGTTTGCCATCGATTTACATTCCATTCCAGCTTTGTGTCCAGCTTAGATACATGTGGTTCTCTTCACGCTCTTTTTCACAAGCTGCCATATTTTTTTTTTACCAATTCCCTCATTAACCAACGAGTTAAATAATACCTTTACCACGTGTTCATCACATTTGTATAAGAATCATAAAGACACCCTATTTTGGCAATCATCCTTTATCTTCTCATTTACTACACATTCCTAATGTCATCCCTATAATTCATGGTTTAGGACTGTATTATATTTCACCTACTCATTCACACTCCTGTGCTCGGGAACGCAGGGCACCTTCTAGTTAACTGACATGTGTCGGGACACGGTGTGCTCCACCAGAGCCCGGTCTTCCTCCTCAGCACATTCCCATCCGTAAATGGCAAAAAAAGTCTCTGCTCTCAGCCAGCCACTGTCACTGGCAGTATGGGACCAGTTCATATCCCACATGTTGCAAGCCTAATTTCCTTTTTATCCAGGAGGAATGCATTTTTCTTGTTCTCTTTACACAAATCCCAGGCATTCTTCAAAAGATAGCTTGAAATTTTTCTCTCTCTTGTACCCTCCCAAACTGTCTTCCCATCCTCAAATTTTCTGTTCTATTTATGTCTACCCTCAAATGTTTATTCTAATATGAATCATATACTCTGAGTTACAATAATCTTTATTTTCTTTGCTTATTTTTTGAGACAGGGCCCCTCTATATGCCCCTGGTTGTCCTAGTACTTGTTATATAGACCAGGCTGGCCTCTAACTCATAGAAATCTGCCTGCCTCCTCCTCCCTAGTGCTGAGATTAAAGGCGTGTTCCACCAACACCTGGCTGATAAGAGTTATCTTAAATGAATAAAGTATTTCTTGTTTTATATTCTTTGGTGATCTAATTTATAATGATTCCAGATGTAAATATCTAGAGACTATCAAAATTATGTACTGAGTTATGTCAGAAGAATTTACTCATTCACAATGTATGTTGTAGTAACTGGCTCTTCCAGGAAGACCATGTGTAACAACTAAATGTGATTTTGTTTTTCATTCGGGTTAATTTTGATAAGAAATCAGCAAAGTTATGTTCACTTTATTCAATGAGCACCACCACTCAGGTTTTAAAAGAAGCTCTTTAGCAAATAAGCCATCCTGCTGTGGTTAGTTACGGTTTTCATCCTCTCGTCTATGTGATTGTTCATCTTTTTCTGTAAAGATTTATCTTTATATTCTGTGTGTGGGCATTTGCCAGTGTGTATGTGTGTCCTCCACATATGTGCCTGGTGTCCACAGAAGCCAAAAGAACGTCAGATCCACTGGAGCTTAGTTACAGTGTGAGCTACCACGTGGGTTCTGGGGACTGAATCAGAGTCCTCTGGAAGAGCAGCACCTACTCTTGACAGCTAAGAATCTCTACAGCCCCACAATTATATATCTTTATCTCTTTTCTTTATTTCTTATGTTTAAAATGTTCTCTTTTTAAGGGAAACAAATTAGGGATGGAGTTGGTTATTTGGGTTTTTTTGTTTGTTTGTTTTTGTTTTTTTTATTTATTTATTTATTTATTTATTTATTTATTTATTTATTTATTTTGGGGGCGGGGTTCGAGACAGGGTTTCTCTGTGTAGTTTTGTGTCTTTCCTGGAACTCACTTGGTAGCCCAGGCTGGCCTCAAACTCACAGAGATCCGCCTGCCTCTGCCTCCCAAGTGCTGGGATTAAAGGCATGCACTACCACCACCAGGCCAGAGTTGGTTATTTGTAAAACAAACAAATAAAAATAATGTTAGGTAAGAATTTGAGAGAAAAAAACCCTACACCAAAATAAGTATTTTTATAATAGAATCTCTTGAATACCGAACAACTGTGAGTATAATGTAGATTTTCAAATCAGGACTTAGCAAGGAGGATTCACCTACTCAGCCCCTTTTCTTCCTTTCCAGGCTGCTGTTTATCAGTGGAGCACAGAGACGCAGGGCATCATCTTTAGCTCCATCAGCTATGGAATCATACTGACTCTAATTCCAAGTGGCTACTTAGCGGGCATATTTGGAGCAAAGCAGATTCTTGGTGCTGGTTTGCTCATCTCATCCCTGCTCACGCTGGTTACTCCACTGGCTGCTGACTTTGGGGTGATTTTGGTCATCGCCATTCGCACAGTCCAGGGAATGGCCCAGGTATCCAGATGCTTTCTCAGACTGAGTGGGATACAGATTCCCAATATCTGCAAAAAGAACCAAGATCTTAATGACTTTTGTTGCAGGGAATGGCGTGGACCGGTCAGTTTACAATTTGGGCAAAGTGGGCTCCTCCACTCGAACGGAGCAAGCTCACCAGCATTGCTGGCTCAGGTGAGGATGCGAAACAAACTAAGGTGTTTAGATTCGGTCCCATTGGTATTGAGGAGTCACTGAAGAATCATGGCGCTGCATCACTACTATTTATTAAGACCAGTGACTACATTAAAATGTCATTGGGATGACTGCAGAGCAGCTTGTAGACCCGAGAACACATATGTGAAGAACAGAACTAAGCTCCTATCCACACCTCACTCCCGTGTCCAGCACAGGTCACAGCATGCTGTCTGCCCCCACACGGAGACCCTCCTGTTTGCTTCTCCATCAGCACCGTCACCACTTCCTCTACTGCGAAGTTCTCTGGCTGGTTTCTCCTTCCATCACCGCTAGTTTAGCTTTGTACTGCTGAGGCAATTGTTTCGTTCTCCAGTTGTTATTGACTTAACTTGATCTGTTCCCATTGCACATTATAACTCTGTTATCACATTCACATTCTACGTCACTTTTCAAATTGAAGACATATAACTGTATCATGATATCAATTTAGTGGCAGCAGAATCTGGGATTTAAAGCATGCAAATGAACAGAGAGGATAAGAGAGGGTAGAAGAGAATGGAATGGAATGGAATAGAATGGAATACACTGGATTGCTTTCAGATTGCACAGGTGATTATGAGCTCATGAAACCTTTCTGGGGTTTGTATATGTGTTTGTATGTGCAAGTGTTTATGTACACTAGGTATGTGTAGTATTTCTATATAAAATGCACTTCCTATTGTGACAAGCATAGTCTGTAAATACATAGCTGTAATTGCTGTTCGGTTTTGTTGATTTGGTTGTTGTTTATTTGAGACACGGTTTTAGTAGATAGCCACAGCTGGCCTGGTACTCTCGATGAGGCCCAGCGTGGCCTCAAATTCGTGTCACTCCTTTTTTCCCCGAGACTCCTGATTGCTGGGATGGCAGATATGTGCCACCATGCTTGGTTGTTGCTGTGGTCAGCATAGACCCCGAGGTCCAATTGTAATCTAGTTTAATACATTTGTGAGAGTGAATTTTACTCATTGTTTTCTCACCAATTCAGGCCAAAATCTCCTTGAAGGCAGGGACTGTACCACTTTAATATTAGTAAGTTGTACTTGCAGAGAGAGTCTATGACGAACTGAGCAGTTAGAGTTGGTGACATTGCTGTTAAGGAGCCACTGAAATAAATTATTGCTCATTACAATGCTCATCATTTCATGTGATGTTGGGAGAGTCTAGTGAACAGGAATGAACCCTCTCATCACCCAGCAATTCCAAATCAGCTACCTCACTCTAGGGACAATGTCCACAATCTAGCCATTGCTATTTCCATGAGTGCTTTTTCTCTGTCTTCTCTTTAGGGGCAGCATTTGGGTCCTTCATCATCCTCTGTGTGGGGGGATTAATCTCACAGTCATTGGGCTGGCCTTTTATCTTCTATATCTTTGGTGAGTCACTGTCTCTTAAATCCTAACTTAAATTTAAATCATATTTCCATTTTTCAGTCATTGATTTTAAGACATACATCACTCGCACTCTCCCCATGCCCCTTGTTAAATGGAAAATGATGAAGAATGTTGAAGATTGGTAGCTTTCTTAATATATAGTTCATGTATCTTGGTCTCATACCTTCCCGGTGGTTTGGACAATCCACATGCGCAGGGCAGACAAGATCACTCTTTACCTCCCCAGCATCTCTACCACCACATATGAAGTTCCTGGCCTTGTGACTCTGCACAGTTAAGACATCAAAGCTGGTTGAGTGCACCTTTAGTGTGTCTCCACACTGTGTAATAGTTATCACTCTTCATCCTCTACCAAGTGAGTCCTGCAAAGCTTAATCAGATGTTCCTTCCCTTCTCTGGCTTACCCATCAGGTTCAGCCATCCTCCCCTCTCTGGTTCTTATTGGTACTTCCCTTTCAGGTTCTACTGTGTTTCTCATCTCCTCATTGAACTGTGAAATGCTTAAATAGTCCATTACATCACGTTTCCTAGACTACTTTGATGACCATAGCATCTGAAATTTAGTTCCCAATAAAATAATGAATTAATCCAATAATATGGAAGGGATTTAAAGAATATTAGTCCCCAAAACCTTTTAACATAGAATATTTTTGAGATGACAAAGATCCCAATAAGTAGACAACTTCCTTCAGTCTGTTCTTTCGTTTTAGCCCTATGGTATTGTTAAACATGTTCCCCGCATGAGGTTCATTCTCCCCAACAATGTGAACCCTGGTCACTGTGTTTCACATATGTTAACCAGGCATGGAAGAGCTTCTCCTCCTGGGACCCCACAAGGAATCTATAGTTTGAATACAAATTGCAATCTCCTGCAAACATACTAGAAATATTTCTGTGCCACAGTGACTGACTTTATGACCAGTAGTTTCATGCACACATAACTACTTTTTCCTTCAGTTCTGACCACACAAACCATAAGAAGACAATGATATGTATGCTAAGAAATTACTGTTAAGACCACATATGAGTATAAACACCAGATCCTTAAGCCTCAGCTGTGCTGTGATTTATCCATGCTCACATTATCTCCAGGATTCTGGCATTTAAAAAGTTTCAGTAGAAGAGTTTTGCAGAGTGGAAAAGAAGATACAAGAAATTTGGTTTTTATGGTGGAATAATCCCAAGTCAATATGTGTGATAGGCTGTGATATTTCAGAAAAAAAATCCTATTCTTCCAAAATATGATTCTACCTGAAAATTAACGTCATCCCTACTTCCCAGGTAGCATTGGCTGTGTCTGTTGTGTCCTGTGGTTCACAGTGATTTATGATGACCCCATGCATCACCCGTGCATAAGTGTGAGGGAAAAGGAACATATCACATCCTCACTGGCTCAGCAGGTACACTGCACCCTCTCCTTCCACCCATGGGCCATGCAGAGGTCTGCAGAGCACTGTCTCTAGGGAGACCTATCCTAATGCCGATGTTGATTGATGTTTTTTTCAGTCTAGTTCTCCCAGAAGATCCATCCCCATAAAGGCTATGGTCAAATGCCTGCCACTGTGGGCCATTTTCATGGGTTTTTTCAGTCATTTCTGGCTATGCACCATAATCATAACCTACCTACCGACGTACATCAGTACGGTGCTCCACGTTAACATCAGAGATGTGAGTACACTCCTCTACTATTACTGTGACAATAATGACTGTTGTCCTGTGCTGTCCATTATATTCCAGTGTATAGAATCATTTAACCTTCACAATGATGGTGACGGAGGCAGTTTCATGATTCCTATTCCACAGCAGTGGAATTGGGACACTCAGAGGTGAGATAATTTGCCTTGGCTTAGGTAACTGCAGCACGGTGGAGCTGCTGTGCATCAGGGTTCTTAATCACAAGGGTCTTCTGCCACTTGAAACGGTCCAGAAATTTTGCCCAGAAACTGACATAGCTTTTCTCAGGAGTTGGTTCTCTTCCCTAAGACAGTGCTCCTCCAGTGTGGCAAAGGTGCTAGTTTCCCTCATACGGCTTGGAATGGTGGAGGTTGGGCTAAGATGGGTCTGTGTGATAAATGCTGGCACTTGCACTGCTCTGTGACATTCTGTGTCCATTTCCCTCTTTCAGAGTGGGGTCCTGTCCTCCCTGCCTTTCATCGCCGCCGCCAGCTGCACCATTTTAGGAGGACAGATGGCAGATTTCCTTCTGTCCAGGAACCTTCTCAGCTTAATCACAGTTCGAAAACTCTTCTCATCCCTGGGTAAGGACAGGTGTGTGGATTCAGGTAACCACCCCCTTCTTGCGTGGGGTTTGAGAAGCCTCTTGACTGTGTGCTCATTCTCCAGGGCTCCTTCTTCCATCCCTCTGTGCTGTGGCCCTGCCTTTTGTGACTTCCAGTTACATAGCAACCATTGTTTTGCTGATACTCATTCCTGGGACCAGCAATTTGTGTGACTCAGGGTTCATCATCAACACCCTAGATGTTGCCCCCAGGTAAGGGCTTGTCTATTGCCTTCATCAGACCACCAAAGCGCTGGTAGATCTCAGCTGTCAATGTCAATGTGCAAAGCCTGTCTTTGCCTGTCTTTGTTGTTGACATGTACTAAATCAAGACAGAGCGACAGATAGCTAGAAAAGTTGGTTCACAGCCATGTGTCTCATTCCGGGCTAGATGAAAGGTTTTCAAGTTCCTGATAAGAGATTAGACTGTGTGTTTTGGGACAAGGTCACAGATGTCTGTTTTGGAAATTTCCAGGGTGTTTGTTACATCAGCCACCACACATGGGCTACTCACCATGAACCAGACCTATGCTAGCACACTCTCATAAATCAATATGTGCCACCATCACAAATACATTAGGTAGATCCCATTTATGACCCTCTAATTCAGGGAGAGGAGACAAGGTGTATACAAGGGTATACAGTATGTGTCTATGATAACACAAGGGCAGAGCCGGGATCTAAAGGCATAGAGTGTAGCTTCGGAGCCAATATCCTGTCTGCTATTCAAACTGTCTTCTGCACTGAGCAGTGTGATGAAAAAACTCAGTTCCCACGGAGACTAGTTCTCTGGTTATTTAGCTCTTGATTCAGTGGACAGATAATTTCAAAGTTGGTGAAGAGGCATCTCTTTGGATATCTTTAGTAATAAAAACCACAGTAGACTGTCGATGGAGTTTTCCTGCCTGGCCCACAGTCAGGACAAATCTCTCTCACCTGCCAGTCCCACAGTCGCTCAAACCCAACCAAGTAAACACAGAGACTTATATTGCTTACAAACTGTATGGCCGTGGCAGGCTTCTTACTAACTGTTCTTATAACTTAAATTAATCCATTTCTATAAATCTATACCTTGCCACATGGCTCGTGGCTTCCCAGCATCTTCACATGCTGTTTCTCATTGTGGCGGCTGGCAGTATCTCTCTGACTCAGCCTTCCACTTCCCAGCTTTATTCTCCTCCTTGTCCCGCCTACACTTCCTGCCTAGCCAATGGCCAATCAGTGTTTTATTTATTGACTAATTAGCAACACATTTGCCATACAGAACATCCCACAGCAGTAGACCACGTGACCTTGCCGTTAGAAACGTGTTTCATGAAAGTTCAAGTGCTGCAGGTGTCATAGATGGTTTCTACATAAAGTCATCTCCTCCACAGATATGCAAGTTTCCTCATGGGCATCTCCAGGGGATTTGGGCTTACTGCAGGAATCATCTCTTCCACTACCACCGGATTCCTCATCAGTCAGGTTGGGCATGTTATTGAACATCTGCAAGTGGCAGGTATTGTTTTAGGCATTGAAAATATACACTGTGCTCTCACAGATGGTATGGTTGGCCGGGGGAAGCAAGCATGGATTTGAACACTCAGGTCATGAAGACCTCTAGATCAGACCCTGGCATGCCATGCTTCCCAGGGAAAGAAAAATGAAAGCTGAACTTTTCGAAAGGGATAGGTATTCATTTTGTGGAAACGAGCTGTTTGGGTGCAAATGACAGTCTTTCTATGACTCCCAGGAGGTAAGAAGAGTGAGAGGGGGCTGGAGTGGTAGCTCAGCCATTAAAGACCAGGCTTACTAATCAAATAGACAAGAGAGGTCTTCATTATGACTGGAATGATGGGGACATGTCAAGAGTTAGTAAATGATGATGACAGAAGGAAGGAAGGGGGAGATCCTGAAGAGTCCAATCAGATCGATTATAGACAGTTTTTCACCTCCTAACGGGAAAGCCAAGTACCCCAGGGTCAGTTTAAGGAAGACAAAGGCCGAGAGAGTCCAGGGATCATGGAGTGGGAGGTTTGCTCCAAGTCTACAGGTGTGGACTAGTGAGCAAGAGGAAGGCAGGAATGGAAGAATCCAAATAGGAGGAAGAGTGTCAAACCCGAGAAGCAAATTTTTGTTTTGTTTTTAGTACAGCTAGGTGACCTAGATTCCAGGCTACTTCTGAGTAAATTTGTAAGAATTCCCTATGGTGATAATGCCAACAATGAACTATGATTGGCCTGACAGGAGGGTCTCTCAAACAGGTCAAGTGTAGCTCGGACTGCAGTGAAAGATCCTCAGAAGGAGCTGACCTGATGGAACTCAACAAAGCAAGAAGGGCAGATCTTAATGATGCATTTTAGTCACAACTGTAAAGCTTCACTTTCATAACTGTGGAAATCCAGATTTCTAGAAAATCAATATCGTTTAATTTGGTTTTGTTTGAAGAAATAGCTACCACAAAATAGGCCCCAATGTGCTCTTTAGAGTCATTTGCTTCCCAACAGTGTTATGGTCCCTCTTGGCTGACAAGATGCTAAGTGCTTTCTATATTTGCCCCCTAAATATTTGTGATTAGCATTGCAATATGCAAAGTAGAGGATCTGTATAACTGGTGGTGAAGGAATTTATAATATTAATAATTATTGTGTATTTCTGTGTCCAGGATTCTGAATCAGGATGGAGGAATGTGTTTTTCCTGTCTGCTGCTGTCAACATGCTCGGTCTGATCTTTTACCTTATGTTTGGACAAACAGAGATTCAGAGCTGGGCCCGAGAAAGGACTCTCACCCGCCTCTGAGGATGGAGGGATGGAAACCAAAATGAAGTACTGGCTCTCAACTTCTTACCATTGCTTATCGCCACTCTTTCTCATGACCATAGACACAGCACTTCTCTCCTCTGGCTAGGTGCTACCTTTTCCAAAGAGCTTCAAAAACGTATTCCCAGGCTGCTTTTCAGAGTGAGTTAGTCTGGGGTGGAACCCAGGTGCCACTACATTTTAGACTCCCCAGGATTTTTTTCCAACAGGCAACTATGGTTAATTGGTAGAGGAATTTGAAGTCAATTCTAGTCGCCTTTGAATTTTCCTCTTTGGAGAGCACTAGATGAATAAAAATCTATCTGAAATAATCTGATAAATACCTTCATGGGGACTGTTATGGACACAGAGATGATCTTGTAAGAATTGTTTCTATGAGTTATAAAACTCAGCAAAGGACAGAATTTAAACCTATAACCACAGAACTGACTTTGTTCATGGGTGTTTATGTGGTTAAATGCTGTTAAAATAAATATGCTAAGAAAAAACAGAGTATGTTAAAACTATCTAGAATAGGATTAATTCTATAAATGGAATAATATTTATGAATCCTAGCTAATTTCTTGGAGGTTATTACCAGAAAATGATGAGAAAAAGATTCAATGAATGAAGTTAAAATGGAATACAAGAAGAGAAATAACAAAATTGGAATGCTTATCACATGAGAACAAATGGACACCCCAAAACACTGAGAAAGTTTAGTCACATGGTAAAAATAGAAGGAGGAAACAGAAACACCTTTAAGTTAATGGATAACTTCCACCGAGCATGAAATTACTAAAGGGAAAGTGAGCTGGAAAGGGAGAGAGGCATGGGAAGAAATTTCCCAAGAGCAGTTCATCCTGAGTGTAGAGAGAGTCCATTTGACCTTTATATTCTCCCAAATAATCATCTTCAACTATAGTAGTAGTTAATGTTGTATCTTACTATGTGAAATATACTCTAAAGTACCTCCATACAGATGCCTCCTTCTGTTTTTCCTCAATTTCCCCAGAAAAGCAGTATTATTTAAACTATGTTCAGAATTCCAAAACAACACAGGACCTGAACCTTAGATGAATTCGTCAGGGGAAGAGAATCTTCTAATCAGGTCTGGGTCAGAACCAAGAGGTACCCTTAAGCAGATGTTGTAAGGATAACAGCTGGTGTCAGGTCCTGAGGGCGATGCTGAGATGATGACACATTGGTTCTGCTTTCTGAGTATTTATCCTACACAGAGAAAAAAGGTGTAGAAAACTAGAAGAAGCATGGAAAGAGAGGAAATAGAATGAACTGGCACGTTACATATGAGGGGAGAGAGAGCTCAGGGATGAACAAATGAATGAATAAATGAAGGAAGATAGGGAAAGGAGAGAGGAAAGGAGGAGAGAGAGTTAGAGAGAGAGACTCCAATAGGAAAATGGACACATGACAGGGATTCAAAGAAGAGAAATTCTGTCCTAAGTATCCTACTAAAAACTAAAAAAGAAAAAATCTTCCTATTCCAGTTTCCACCCTACAAAACAGTCTGTCTTTCTCAGAAAACCCTTCCCTCCTCCGAATCCTGAACTCAATATCTAACTTCTGTGGTTATAGGGGTGTGTGTGTGTGTGTGTGTGTGTGTGTGTGTGTGTGTGTGTGTTGTTTTATATGTGTGTGTGTGTGTGTGTGTGTTATACGTATATATGCAGTCTGAGAATTAAATGGAGAAGGGGAAGGAAGAGGTGGGTAACAGGAGATATGAGGAGGAACAACTGAACTACGGGCTATTTGAGGGGTCATATGTCAAAGGAAACCTTCTACTATAGTAGAAGCTTCTTAAAATATATGCACATGTGGATGAAAGAAATCTCAATGGAATGACCAAGTAACAGGGCAGACCAAGCTCTAATCAGACATCTTTCACCACCAAATAGAATCTCCAGTGCCAGGAATAGCACTCTGAGTTGTTGGCAGAGAGGCCCACGGGAAACACCCAGGCTATTGCCATAGCTATTGGTTGCTTTCCACAAATTGAAGGTTAGGCCCTATTTCTCAAGAAACATGGTTCACTGAACACAAAAAAGTCACACTGGTGCCTAACTAGAGCCTCCATCCTTACTGACTGGTTCGTGGTACAAGAAGGCACCTTGATGCTACCAGAGGAGAAAGGTGAACACCAACCCAGCTAAAAACCTTTGTCCACAATAGTGATCTGCCTGAATGATATGCTGGTGAACAGTGACCCAAAAGTTGTGGGAGTAACCAACTATCTGACTGGACTTAAGGTGGTCCACTCCACAAGATGGAACCCATGCCTGAGAATGCTCAGGTAGCCAAGAGCCTGAGCCTAGGAGAAAGCCAAACACTGTTGTTTTGCAAAAGGCACGTGGCAATGAAATGACTCCTAATGACATTCTGCTGTACTCACAGATCAGTCTTGCTCAGCCCTCACCAGAGAAGCTTCCTCTTGCAGTAGATGGGAACCAGTACAGAGACCCACACAGGACAATGTGCGGAGAGTGAGAGACCTTGGAACACTCAGTCTAAATGGGATATCTCAATCAAGTCCCGCCCCTCAGGGCTCGGGGAGCTGGAAAAGGAGGTAGAAAGATTGTAAGAGCCAGTGTGGGTGGGAGATACCCAGGAGATAAGGCCTTCTAGACACAACAGGGGTGATGCATCCATGAACTCACAGAGATGGTGGAAGCATACTCAGGGCCTGAACACACACACTGTACACTTCTAAGTCAGATGGGGTACCAGTGCTGAGAAGGGAAGTGGACACAAGCCCCCATCCCTGACCCAGAAGCTCTCTCCAATAAACAGCCCTTCACAAAGGAAAAATTTGTTTTCTCTAATGAGATCTCACTGGGTATACAAACCACACTGACGGTCAGGGCCTCAGAACCAGCAGTAGATGGCCAACCCAATGGTATTCTTGAAGGTTCTTTTTCTCTTAATGGTTTGTCTGTGCTTTTTGATTTTAAACCTTACAGGTCTTTTGCTTGTACATTATGGTTTCCATTTTTATAGGAGTTCAGTGTGTGTGGATGTGGTCTCTGCATGTCTGTGTGTTTTATAGGAGTTCAGTGTGTGTGGATGTGGTCTCTGCATGTCTGTGTGTTTTATAGGAGTTCAGTGTGTGTGGATGTGCCTCTCTGCATGTCTGTGTGTTTGCTTTTTCTTTGGCTTTTTTTGTTCTTATCTGTTTGTATGTTCGTTTTGTCCTATTCTGATTTTTTTTTGTTTGCCTTTTTGTTTTGTTTGTTTTCTAATAAGAGAAAGAAAGGGTGTAGATTTGGCGAGTGGGGAGGTGGGGAGGATCTGGAAGGGTTTGGAGTAGGGGAACCATGATCCAAATATATTGTATGGAAAAAAACATATTTTTAATTAAAAAAGAGAGAGAAAAGAAACTAAGTTCAACTTCATCAGTCACTAAAAACTAAAAATCAAACAACAAAGAGCTATCACTAGGCTTAGCATAATGAGTAGTATGAAAGAATAAGAAAACATCAAGCGTTGGTAAGGTGTGGAGCAGATGAACTTTGGCATGGTATCAATGTGAATTTAAATTAAACCTTGAGACTCCGAAATTTCACTCAGAAAAGTACATATAGTGAAAACATGTACATTTGTAGGAGAGTAATTGTAACAAGCAGGAAGCAATTCGACTTCCCATTCAACAAAGGGTAAGTAGTAAGTCATGATCTGTTGCTACAGCAGTGAAAACTGACACACCCCAGCACACAGCACCATGGTGAAACTCAGAAATACAATGCTGAATGGAAAAAAATAAAAAACAAAAAAAAAACAGAACCACATTATAGTGAAGGATTACAGAGAGGTCCTTACAGCAGACAGAACTAACAACCTGTTAAAAATCAATGGAGTGACTCCCTTGGGCAGAGGCGGGGGCCCTGCCGGGACAGAAGCTGTCCCAGATGGACTCCTTGAGTATAGAGAACAGTTTATTTCTCAGTTGGGTTTGCTAACAGCTTGTTCTGGACTTGGATCACTGTGCTGATGTGAAGGATGAAGCTTGCTGCACTCTGCCTGTGCTTTTGTGTCTAGCGTGTCTAGATATGAGACAAACAGGAGATCACCTCCCTTGTTTCCAGCACTCTGACAAGTTAGAGTGAAGTGTGGGTGATTGGTGTTGCTTTCTGAAGTCTTGAAGCATTGGTTCATAAAACAAATAGGCTGGAAGGATTTCAGGAGACTTCTTTGATAGTTTTCTCCATTTCCCACAATGCTATTGATTTATTAAGGGGGTTTTCTCCAATCACTTTTGACAAATTGTGTTACCTTGGACAGTTATTCACTCTTCTACCTCATGCAAAATTCATTGTCACAATATTCAAATGTTTCATTAAATTATCTTTTTATATTCATTTTATCTATATCAGAAGATTTAGCTTCCTTTTTACTTCTAACGCATTGTAAGGATATTTGTTTCTGCTTCACCTGGATACTTAGTAATTTACTTACTTTAAAGACATCCACACCTTATTTCCATGCAGCGTCTGAAGTATCTGCACAGCTTTTGTCAGCGAAGGGGCTGTTCCGGGTTGTTGACTTGAGGGCAGTTTGGCAGCAACTCCTCCTGGTACATGGAGGTGGAATTCGTTCCCAAAGCACCACGCTTCAACATAAATTAGATAAAAACCATCAGATTCAAAAACTTCTGTGACTGTTTCTAGAATCGATAGGCATTATATAATCAGATGGTAAAACTTACATTAAACCATGTCATGAAATATTTATTCTAATTGTAGTAATTTCTCATCCAATTGTGTCTTTTACTCACAAAATAACTCACTAGTATTTTAACGAAAAGCTTTAGTCGTCGGTCAATTCAGACTGTTCAAGCGGTACCTAAAGTTTTCAAGATTATGTATACAGTCAAAGGACTGATGGTTATTCCTGAAGGGCCCCAGTGGGCCTGAGAATGGCAAACATGACTCTGGCAGGTCTTGCCTCCCCTCTTCCCTCTTCCTTGCTAAACCATTGACTAGTCA